TAAATAAATAAATAAATAATTTGGACACAAATAATTAAGCTAATAAAATGAGTTAAAACAAGAGCACATATCACAAGAAGATTTCTCTTTTTGTCTCAGAAGGAATTTGAATTGAGTTGTCACAAACGTAAACAATACAGGCCAGGTCACATGACGGTCCGAAATTATACCGTGTAATATCTCATCAATTATAGCAGCACAAACAATTGTTTCAACGGCAAAAACCTGCACAAACAAAGCACTACAAAACTGGACTAGTTTGGTTCATTTTGAAGCGAGTGGTGTGACCCCTGAATGACCCTTACAAATAATCTGTAATATATAAAAAACCATGGCAGCACAAATGGCAATTTCAAGAACACAAACCCAGACAAACAAAGCACTAACCACTCAGCCTAATTGCCTTTTTTTCTGTGGTACATTTTTTGGGRGGGGTTTGTTTCACTCAGCTGTTAACTCTGATTGTTTTTTTCTGAAATAAAACGTGATTTGAAGTAAAAGCTGAAGAAAGCTCCCAGTTCTTGTGTTCATTCTTTTGATTTCTTGAGCTACATCAAAATGACCTCCTAGGAAAAACARATACTGCCTTTCTTCTGTTTGATGATATCCTGTGTTTCTTACTTTCATGAGAAGGTCGGGGGTCCGGAGTCGGAAGCTGAACTGCGTGGCCAGAACCTGCTGTGTCTCCTGAACCCTCCCTGACACTGTCAGCATCAGGGCAGCCTGGTCTATCAGCTGGTTTTTGTACACTTTRTACTCTAAAACCCAGTCCAACAACTTCTCTGTGAAAATAAAGACAAGATGTGGATGAATGAGCTGGATGTTGTTGCATTTGTAAAAAYGTGTTTGTAATGTGTGTGTGGGTGGAGCTAAATTGGGGTCATAACTTTTGTTCAAAATAAAAAAAAATTGAAACTGAAAATTTTTTTTGAAACTCAAGATGTTTGAGACTTCCAGATTGCAATGCATTGTTTTTCAGTTTCAAATATTTTTTCAGTTTCAAAGTTATTTTTCAGTTTAAACATTTTTTTCAGTTTCAATTTTTTTTTATTTTGAACAAAAGTTATGAACCCAATTTAGCTCCACATGTGTGGGCTCAGCTCACCCTCCTGAGGCAGCAGCTCCACTTCCGTTTTGTCCTGTCGGACCGTGGCTTTGTGGACTCCGGTGTAGTACATGACGGCCAGCTGGCTGTGCAGCATGACTCGGCGCCGCTCTGAGCTGACGTTTTTCAACATGATGCTCAGCTCTGCGTCTCCTCCCATTTTAGGGCCCTCTCCTTCCATGAGGACTCTGACAGAGACGTCCTCTGCTGTGGGAGAGGAGTAGCTCCCTGCTTTGGTGCCGAAGCGACAGGCTGTTTCTACAGCGATCCGCTCCTCCTCCGAGCCTTGAAAGTCAACAAACATAAGACCCGAGAGGGTTCAAATAGTTCTGATGGGAGGTTTTGAAGTTTTTATTTTGATCTTCTGCACTTTGATTTGTACCTTCAGGATATTTGTAAAGGTGTGTGATGTCGCTGCGTTCCTCTGAGCCGACAGCTTTGGTGCTGATGGAGTGACCCACCGTCTGCTTCTCACTGTAAATCTGTTTGAAGGTACCGTCAACATTTTTCTGCCAGTAGATTTTATCACTGTTCACCTGCAGAGACACACAGGGACATGATCAGAACAAATACCATATTTATTCGTGTATAATATGATCTCATGTATAATACGACCCCCCCCCCCTTTTTTTTAGCTTAAAAAGCATAAAAAATTTAATCCTCAAACTACCTCCAATTTCATACAGACTTCAAGATTTTTCAGCCTTTGCAGTCTTTATACATATCAGTAAAATGATCATTGGACTGTTCATTTTATTTTAACAACATATGTACTAAAAGGTATTTNGTCATGTACCCAGAATGCATCGCATCAGTTTTCCAATAAACAGATTTAAAATTACTTTATTGATGCTTCTTTAATGAAAAATCTACAACAGACAAAAGAAAAAAACAAAGAAGCAGCCGAACTAGCAATCCTCAACAACTTTTTCATTTTTACACCAGGAGCCAAAGTTCTGTTTCAGGAAATCACATCCCCAGCAATCGGAGGTTGTAAGATTAAGCTGTAAAAGAGTTCTAACACCACTAGTTGGTAGWGTTKTACATTTATTGTACATGAATTATTGACAGCTAGTATGTGTTAAATTGAAATTGTGCTTTAAATTTAGCTTCTGCTAGTTTTCTATGGTGTAAGTGCTTTTGAAGTTGCAAACCTAAATATTTTCATAAACAACTTTAGGAATTGCAGAGATAATTGTTGGATTAGCGCTGCCCACCACTGCTGAAACGAATTGAATTAACAACAACAATAATATCGGATATAGATATCAGCTGAAATTTAATATCGAACATCTATATTCAGAAGCTAACCTCAGCAAACACGAATGCACAGTCATGTTTGAGGTAGACATGTCCGTTACGGACGGCAGCGAGGGAGGCGGGACCACAGCGATAGATGCCCTGGCTGGTTTCCTGTGGCGTGGCGTCCACTGCCTGCCAGCCTCCGTTACCAGGMGGCAGGTCCGGACGGGCCATCCAGCAGTCGTTCCACACGTGGAAGTTCCTTCAGAAAAAGACAGTTCAGTGAATGTTTCAGGTGTCCTGCAGAACTATAACACTTCATTAAAGCAAGAGGAAACTAACCAGATGGAGTCTGTATTCAGGTACTCTATAGGGGCCAGGTTCTCATCCAGGTACACATCTGTTGTCAGGGAAACATCTGTATCATGAGCTGAGCTGAAGTTGGTCACAGTTCGAGCAGGAATACCCAARCATCGTAAAACTGCAAAAATAAAACAAGATATAAGATATGTATTAACAAACACTTCTGCAAACGTGAACAATCCAAACAACAAATCAAAAATGTAACTCTTAGCTGACCTGTAGTGAAAACTCCAGCAAAGACCCAGCACTGGCCGTACTTCACCTTGGAACCTTTGTTTTTATAGTATTCTTGCAGGATTTCCACACTGCCACTCCATAATGTTGGAGAAGTTCCATTTGAATAATCTCCTGACCAGTTTCCTTCCAGAACACCCAGATCATCCACAGAGTTCACCTGGAGAAATGAAACAACCATTATACACCTGAAGCCTGGCTCAGACACTTTATGTCAGACTCAAACAGATACTATGTGGACTTTAGAGTCAAACTGGTGCAAACAACAAACAGGTGTGTTCAAACCAGTCAAGGTGAGGCTTTCAAACAACTGATGAACATGGTGGTGGTAGCATTATGCTCTGCAGTCACTGGATGTTTGTTTATGTGCAATCACTGCAGAGAACTCCACTTGAAAACAGACCATTTTAGCCGTAACTCGAGACAGGAAGGTGCTAGCCGCACAAAACTTGAACGCCATACATTTGGAAAGATGTTTAATAATTCAGCTTGGCCATGAAAGCTCTGACCTACCCAGAAAAAAAAATCGCCATTTTTAATCTGAGTGATAAAATCAGGGCTATTTGGCCAAAAG